AACATCATCATTCTCCCAGCAGACAAAGGAAGGTGCACAGTGATTTTGAACCAGAAAGACTATCATGAGAAAGTTATGACACTCCTTAGTGACTTAAACACTTATGAACCTCTGAAAAGAGATCCAGGAAGTGGTTACAAGAAGAAGTCAATAGATTACCTGAAAATTTTGGAGCAGGACAAGACTATTGACCGTATTCTGTACCACAGACTGTACCCAGGGGAGGCCACACCTAGTCTGTATGGTTTACCTAAAATCCACAAACAAGGTGTACCTTTAAGACCTATTGTTAGCATGATTAACTCTGTCACTTACAATGTTTCCAAATATCTGGCGTCTGTACTCATCCCTTTTGTTGGCAGCTCAGAACACCACATACAGAACACCATGGACTTTGTGGATAAGGTGAGGGATGTCATCATGGAGACTGATGAAACAATGGTCTCTTTTGATGTCACATCACTCTTTACCTGCATTCCTGTTGATGATGCAGTAGAGGTGGTCAGTTTAAGATTAAAATCAGACACCACTCTGAGCAGCAGGACCACGCTTTCCACAGAACAACTATGTCAACTCTTGAAACTGTGCCTGCAGTCCACCTACTTCACATATGGGGAGCAATATTATAGGCAGAAACATGGGTGTGCTATGGGGTCTCCAGTTTCTCCTATTGTTGCCAACCTGTACATGGAGGAGGTAGAAAAGAGAGCCTTGACGTCCTTTTCAGGGACACCACAAAGTCATTGGTTCAGGTATGTTGACGACACCTGGGTTAAAATTAAATCTCAGGAAGTCCAACATTTTACTGACCACATCAACTCTGTGGATAAACATCAAGTTCACACGAGAAGATGTAAAAAATGGCAGGTTGGCTTTCTTGGACTGTGAGGTCTCAGTCTCGGATAGAGGACATTTGCAAACCGAGGTGTACCGCAAACCCACCCACACAGACCAGTATTTGCAGTTTGACTCCCATCACCCTTTGGAGCACAAGTTAGGAGTCATCAGGACTCTGTATCACAGAGCAGACAGCGTCCCCACTAGCTCGGGAGCCAGGCAGAAGGAGAAATCCTACACAAAACAGGCTCTAGAGCAATGTGGATATCCTAACTGGTCCTTCCTGAAAGCAGAGAAGAAACCCAAACAGGACTCCAGTCAGCCATCAGGTGAAAAGGAGGAACCCAGACCCAGACCAGTGGTCATTCCATATGTTGAGGGGGTATCAGAGAAACTGAGACGTTTATTTTCTAAACATAACGTCCCAGTGGCTTTTAAACCCCAAAATACATTACGGCAAAGACTGGTTCATCCCAAAGATCCAGTCCCCTGGCACAAACAGAGTAATGTTGTGTATGCTGTTCAGTGTCAGGAGGGCTGTGATCAGTCTTACATCGGGGAAACTAAACAGCCACTGGCCAAAAGGATGGCCCAACACAGAAGATCAACATCATCAGGCCAGGATTCTGCGGTCTACACTCATCTCCAGGCCAGCGGTCACTCTTTCAAGGATGAAGATGTTCACATCCTGGACAGAGAGGAACGATGGTTTGAGAGAGGAGTAAAGGAGGCCATCTTTGTGAAAAGAAACCGTCCATCATTAAACAGGGGTGGAGGCCTCCGGGTTCAACTGTCCCCCTCTTACAATGCTGTGATTGCTAGTATCACTCAGCCCTCTGTGAGTAGTAAACAGCCATCAGTGTGCTAATGATCCATTGTTAGGCTGATGGTCCTTCTTGAGCATGTGATCAGCTGGTTTTGGTTGTCAGCAGCAAACTGGTTGATCCACTCTAAGAAGGTGCTATTTAAGAGACTGAGCTGAAAACAGCACCTCAGACTGAGGAAGTCTCTTGGATGAGAGACGAAACGTTTCTAGATTTCTTTTGCTTTGTTTTGCTTATGTTTTTTTGAATGTTCAGAGGACCAGATTGAACTTTTTTGGATAAAACTGGAGCGATATGATCTCTCCCACTAACTCCAGTTAAGACTCTGGCAGCAGCATTTTGGATCAACTGAAGACGTTTGAAAGAAGTTTTTGGACACCCAGATAATATAGTCCAGTCTAGACGTGACAAATGCATGAACCAGTTTTTCTTCATCATTTTTAGATATGATTCTAATTTTAACAATATTATGCAGGTGGAAGAAGGCAGTTCTAGTAAAGTTTTTAATGTGGGGGACAAAAGAGCTTTGGAGAACATCTAGACCCACAGAAAATGAGTACATTACAGAACTTATTCATGTCCTGTCTGAATTTCTGGTCCGTTCTGGCTTCTTGAGCAGAGTTGTTGGTTTTTAGGAAACTTGTGATTTCAGTTCCATCAGCCCTCCTTCACCCTGCCGAGCCACCATCAGTCAAGTCAAGTCAGATTTATTTATATAGGACATTTAAAACAGAAACTGTTACCAAAGTGCTTAACAAAAAGGTCACAGCATCAAATAAAAAGTAACAAGATATAATGACAGCATCAGGAATAAAAATATAAACCACAAAATATAATTAGAAATGATGAAATAGTAAATCAGATCACCTTGTGTCAAATGTCAATTTAATTCAATTCAGTTTATTTATATAGAGCCAAATCACAACAAAGTTGTCTCAGGGCACTTTACAGGAACATTCACATACGTAAAGCCAATTAGTAAAGTTCTCTATCTAAGGAATCCAGCAGACAAGATGAATCTTGGCTTCGTTGCAGTCTCCCATCCTGATCAAGCACAGTGGCAACAGTGGAAAGGAAAAACTCCCTTTTAAAAGGAAGAAGTATTTGGACATCCAGATAATAAACCATTGCAATAGTCCAGTCTAGACGTGACAAATGCATGGACCAGTTTTTCTGCATCATTTTTAGATAAGATTTTTCTAATTTTAGTGATATTACGCAGGTGGAAGAAGGCAATTCTAGTAACGTTTTTAATGTGGGTGATAAAAGACATGTCCTGATCAAAAATAACACCAAGATTTTTAACATTAGAGCTGGAGGACAGATTAATGCCGTCTAAGGAGGGAGAAAGACTGAAAAATTAATTCCTAAGGTGATCAGGTCCAAAAACCAAAACCTCAGTCAAGTAATAATAATAATAAAAAATAAAAAAAAATCAGAAATACAGACAGAAAGAATGAAATACTAAATCAGATCAGATGACCATGTGTTATTAGGAATACGACACAAGCATAAACACAATCAGAATCGTTGGTTACGTACTGTAACCCCAGATTCTATGAGTATAGGCGTAGCCCTTTAAGGCTGTCGCTGATGGGTTTATCCAGTTATGCGAAGCATCACACTGAAAAAAATTAGTCCACGCCCACCTGCTGTGTGGGCCCCACCCGATCCATATAAGTTACGTTAAGAGCGGGTAATAGGCTCCCAAATAGCTTTATTTTTTCTTCAGCCATTCAGGAGCCAGTGAGGCCCGACGCTTCAAGGGCTACGCCTATACTCATAGAATCTGGGGTTACAATACGTAACCAACGTTCTATTTCGTATAGGCTTCGCCCTTTAAGGCTGTCGCTGATGGGTTATGGGCGAAGCGGATGTTGGCCTCGCCTCACTGGGTCCATTCGAACACCGTATGAGACAGAAGCTTGCCCACAAAAACGTCTTGTCACTCAGCTCCCCATGTGCATAATTACGCATTGCGTAGTTATGTGTGCCATGCACAGACGCATGTTGTGTAACCATGCGTTCTGAAAAACATGAACGCCCCGGAAAATTTCAACGGGGAAGGAAGATGTTGTGAAAAGGGGGGGAGGGGGGGCATGAACCAACTGATTCGTGGCTGAACAGTATAAACAGATTTCGTCATGTCTTGGAGCGACAGTGAATTTAAAAAACCTTTATTTAAGGACACCGGCTCGTTATGTGTGGAGGATGTGTGCGCAGCCGCTGTGAGTTCATCCAAGCTTACAGACTGGCTAAAAACAGACACTTTGATCATTGAATGATGATTTATTTCAACTTTTGTGTCACTTTTACACACACCCTCCGCAGACCGTCATTTTTAAAATCTTCTCCCCCGTGAGCTCTGCGATTTGTTGGCCCAGGGCGCCGTCTGCAGGCGATCTCTGGGGAAACGCTGAACTGCTGGTTGCCGGGATGAAGAGGGCTGGTCTCTGACGGGCGGGGCTGGTGGTGGAGATGAGCGAGACGCCGCCGCGGCGGCCATGGCCGTGGAACGTCGTTGCTTCTGCCTCTGCTCACGATGGTCTCTCCAGCGGGCCGGGGGGCGGGATGAGCTGCACGGCTTGATGAGGTGGCGCACAGTCTCCGACACCTCCTCCGACAGCTTGGAGTTCGCCAGCATGGCTTTGAAGCTGCTCCCGAACAGCGCGTCCGCTGTGATGGGGCCCTCCATCAGGTCTCTGTGCAGTTTCTCCGGCAGCGAGGGGGAGTGACGAAGCCAGGTGGATCGCTGAATCATCATCATCCACGCTGCAATCCTGGACAGGCAAACCGCAGAAGAGGCACACATGTTGAAGATGGCGTCAGCTGCCTTACAGAGGGAGCTTTTGGTCTCCTCAGGCAGATCTGCAGCCTCCAGCCTCTTGGACACGCTGTATGCTAGCAGCGCCACGTTGTTGTTAGCTGCGGCTGCCTGAAAAGCCCATTGATGAGCTCGATTGGAGAGTGTGGTCACCGTCTGGTCGTGTTTCCCAGGAGGGACAGGATGCTGCTCCAACCTGGACAGCTTTGCTCCTAATGCTTTCGCAAGGCTTGGCTCAAGGGGGGGGGGGGGTACCGAGGGAAAGCCCCGCTCGGTGAACGCCTCCACTCTGGTGATGGGAGCGAAAGTGGAGATGGGCGCTCTCAGTTTACCAGGACCGGCTGCGGCCTCGTTCCAATACAACATCAGAAACCGAGGCCAGATGGGATCAGGACGGCGAGCCGGCGTGGAGCCAAACCTTCCCGCAAGATCATCCGATCTGGGCGGCGGGGCGGGGGGGGGGGGGGGGTGTTAAGGGAACGGAAAGTCCCTTCATGTCAGCAGCTTCCCGGATAATGTCGGGCAACTCCAAAAGGAGTGCGCCGACGGCAGGGAGCGATGTGGCCGTTGAGGCGGGAAAGCCCGGAGGGGTCGAGCATCCGCTCGGCCCCCCTCGTTCCAACACTGCGCTCCCCCGGGAGGGAGCGAGCATCGGGGCTGCTGCTAACATCACCAGTCCCAGAGGAACCATCCGATTCGCTCCGACAGCCAGCGTCGAAGAAGTCGATCGCGTCGTCCAGCGAATCAACGGAACTAGCGAACTGTCCCGCCACGGACAGGCAGTCCTCGACGTTAGCCTTAAACAAGGCTGCTCTCCTCTGCCTTTCCTCCGGTGGAAGATCGTCACAGAGGCGGCAGGAGGAAGCGTGGGTGACGTGGCGGGGACCCAGGCATCCCTCGCAGGTGTTGTGCCGGTCAAAGCTAAGCAAGTAACCGGTCTTGCAAGATGGACACAAGCGGATGGTGTTGGAGCTAGACATCTTGTCAAAGGTCAGTGTTATTAGCTTGCTGAAGAAAAAATAGGAGCCGATTACCCACTCTTGACGTAACTTATACGGATCGAGTGGGGCCCACACAGCAGGTGGGCGTGTACTAAATTTTTTCAGTGTGATGCTTCGCATAATGGGATAAATCCATCAGCGACAGCCTTAAAGGGCGAAGCCTATACAAAATAGAAGAATAATTTTTTTAAAATCTAAATCAGATCACCCTGTGTTAAATGTCAGTGAGTACAGATGTGTTTTCTGGAGAGTTTTAAAAGCGGAGACTGAGGGCCTGTCGAATGCTCATGGATTCAAGGTTCTTTATTTGTCATTTGCACCACATGTGGAACATGTGGTGGAACGAAATTGTATACACAGGGTCCCAGTTACATCCAATAAAAGTATAAAATGTAAAAGAAAAACAGTAATAAGATCTAAGATATGAACCAAGAAAAACGTTAACTAAAAATACGCTAAGCAATAGTAGTACAAAAACAATATGCCGAACAGCAGCACGGTAATGATGATGGGCAGATTGTTCCAGAGTTTAGGGCCCACAACTGAAAAGGCTCAATCTCCTCTGACCTTCAATCTGGTTTTTGGTGCCACCAAAAGCAACTGATCTGATGATCTCAAAGCCCGAGAAGACGCATAAGGATGAAGAACGTCGGAGAGGTATGAGGGTGCAAGGCCAGTAATGCACTTGAATGTCAACAGGAGAATTTTAAAATCAATTCTGACCACACAGGAAGCCAGTGAAGAGAGGACAGAACCAGTGAAATGTGCTCAAACCTGCAAGTTCTGGTTAGTAGCCGGGCTGCAGCATTTTGTACGAGCTAGAGATGTGAAAGCGAAGCCTGACTGACCCCAACATAAAGTGAGTTACAGTAGTCCAACCGGGTTGTAATGAATGCATGGACTAATTTTTCAAGGTCAGATCTGGACAAAACGGACTTAACCTTTTCTATCTGCCTTAGCTGAAAGAAGTTTTTTTGAAGAACAGAGTTGATCTGTTTATTAAACTTAAAGTCCGAGTTTAAAACTATCCCAAGATTGGTAACAGACTGCTTTGGATATGGCTGAAGTGAGTGCAGGTTTACAGGATCAGTGACAGCCACAGAGCTAGAGTTAAACACAATGGCCTCAGTTTTCTGATCATTAAAACTTAAGAAGTTTGAAGCCATCCATGTCTTGATGTCCTCAAGACATTTTAGCAAAGGGCAAATGGAAAAGGAGTGCTAGGTTTTAAGGACAGATAAATCTGAGAATCATCAACATAACAATGAAACGAAATAAAATGTATTCCTCAGGAATGATAGACCCTAAGGGGAGCAGATGTAATGAAAACAGGAGTGGTCCAAGAATGGAGCCTTGCGGGACCCCACAGGAAAGAGGGACAGAAGCAGATAAATGATTACCAAAACTGACACAGAAACTCTTGTCACTCAGATATGAACAAAATCATTCTAATGCTGCACTCCTAATCCTAACCCAGTGTTCTAGCCATGACACAAGGATACTATGGTCAAAAGTATCAAATGCAGCAGTAAGGTGAAGGAGTACCAGGATCACAGACTGACCAGAGTCCTTCGCTAGCAGAATGTCATTACAGGCCCTTACAAAGGCTGTCTCTGTGATGTGTAGTTGTTTAAAACCTGACTGAAAAATCTCAAAAATTCCATTTCATTCAGAAACTTGGTTAGTTGACTAAAAACTATTTTCTCCATGATTTTAGAAAGAAATGGAAGTTTTGAGATTGGTTGAAGTTTGAATAAGTTTGATCAGATCACCTGCAGGCAGAGGCACCAGGAAAGCGCAGGAAATAAGCAACTATCAGATATTCCCAGGGAACAAATATCAACGAGATAAAGGGATGACAAAACCACTATCACATTTCGTCACTGTCTTTGTTTGTTTCTGAGGTAGCGCAGTGACAGATCCTGGTGAGTGGAGGGAGCAGTTTTATCCATTACCAGGTGTAGTGGAGGAGCCAGGGGGTGACCGATTGTGGCCTTGGCCCCACAGATTAATCTTCAGCCACCCCAATCATTTGAGGAAACTTTACTTTCAAACAAAATAAAAACTAGAAAGCATTGTTTCCTCCAATGATCAATGTGGCAGGTTTACATACACATACAGTATGGTGCGGTGGCCATCTTGGATATTGACCTGACTGCACAATTTTCAATGGTGATCTTTCTTACACCTTGATGCAGCCACAACATGCACAGATGAACCGAGGCTATTTCTAATTCCTCCTCTTCTCTCCGTGACAGAGGACAAAAACACTAAGAGGCCAGTTGATTGAGTTATGATGAGTTAACCCTTTAATGGCTGTGATGATGCTCACACAGGGCTGCACACTGTTAGGCAAGAACTTGCCAACAAGTTTTGTGTTTTCCTCTCCGATAACTCTTGATCCACATTTTCTTCTAGAAAGGACTGAAGGCGTTTCAGACATCTGCAACTATGGACTTGACGAAGTGAGATTTCAAAATGTGTTTCATATTCACCCAACATCACAAAGCCTGCAGAGTTGTGTTAAAAGTAGATTTTCATTTTGTTCTCCACTTGATGTTTGTGGACCATTTTCAGGTTTTGGTACAGAGCTCAACAGGGTTGTTTGATTTAGTAGAAAGGACTGAGCTGGAAGAAACCTTCTCATGCCTCTTGTACCCAACACTCATCATGAATTGCTCCTGGTTGTTCCACACTTTGGAGAAGGATGCTCACCTCTCTGTTTATATCAGGTATTCAGTACACATTATTGAGGGTTTTCTTCAGCAGAACTCAATGAAAGTGTGTGAATGTGACACATTTTAGAGCAGGAACACAATCAGAAAAGCTTGCCCTGAGAAACTGTCTTTTCTTCCCTGTGTAGAGAATGTGAAAATGATACATTGGTTGATTTTGAAAGCTACGTCTCTGTGGAAAAAGTTGGATCAAGGTCCTGGAAATTCAATGAAGATGAGAAGAATCATATAGTCATTCTGTTTAACATGACCCGGAATGGCAAATGGAAAGTTTACGCCAGCAAATACGACGTGGATGTGCTGAGTATGTATCCCAGACACACACCGTTTGATTCACATGATAATCCTGAACTCGTGATCAGATCTTAGAGGTTTGTGGAACTCCAAGGATTAAGACATTTTGCACATCTAGTTTTGGAAAAACTCAAAGTCTTTGAATTATAGATACATTTGAAAATGATGTAAAATGGCAACTTTTAAGCTCCTGTCAGCTGGTTAAATAAACATCTGTAGCACAATGACAGTGAATGTGGTGCAGGAAGTAAGAATGTCAGTGATTTTGCTGTAAAGTGTTTAACATACCATATCATCAAACAAAATTAAAGTTCTTCAAGTCTGCCCTGAAGAGCTTTCAAAAACCATAATTCATGTCTCATGACCTTGGGTTAATCTTGGAGAGTAGATGGAGCACTAAGTTACTTCTTCACCCATGTGGCTTGGTGCAACTTCCTCATTACTGCAGGCTACGCTGATTCATTTGCCACTTCATTCTGCCATCACTTACGAGCATAATACCTAAACTCCTCCTCTTTAGGAAAATACACCCTGAACCCAGACAGAAACTTCATTCCTGATCATTTGACTCTGATTGCAACCGTTTCACATTCGGCTGTGAACAGCTCCAATGCATGCTCAAGGTCATGGTCCAAAGATGCCAACAGAAACACACTGTCTTCAGAAAAAATAAAGATGAGACCTTGAGGTTCAACAACCAGACACTCTGCTTTTGGGATCCTGTCCATGAGCTTCACAAACAGGCTCGTTGACAGGTGGAAGCCCTGGAAGAGTCCAACCCACACTGGAAATGAGCTCAACGCATATGCAGCTCTTTACTTGGTTCCACTGGAACTGAAAGAGTGAGCCTAATGTGCCTGGCAACCCATCTTCCCACAATACCTTCAACTGCCTGGACCTCCATCAGCAATTCTGCAGGGGAAAGATCTGGTCCACTGTTTCGAGTTCTTAACCCTGCTGCACCTCCCAAACTAGAAGTTCCACATTCTCTCAAGATAATATTAGATCAGATAAGATAGAACTTTATTGATCCCGCAGGAAAATGTGCCAGAGTTTCAATACAAAGCAGCAAAGCAAATACACAATGCATTACAAGATATAAGAAAAACTGAGCCAGCTGTCTTGATGAGCTTATCAAGTCTGTTGATTAGCATGCAAATCTCTCAGTGTCTGGCGATTCGATGCGATTCTGAATTTTTTTTTTTTTTTTTTTTTTTT